TTATTATTATTATTATTATTATTATTATTTTGAAACCTTAGATGCAAGTCCATCTCACTTTTCACGTTTCTCTTCATCAAAGCATCGCAGACTGATTCAGAAAGACAAGGGAGAAAATATTAGCATCAAAGAGGGTATGATTAGCACTCCAGCACCTTAGAAATTATCGTTCTGTACAGAGGTAGCCTCCGTCGGGGCCAAGTTGAATTCTCACATTGGGCACTGAGTTGAGATACTGTGGTCTGGTTAAACATATTGACTCAGTGAGGTTTTTTTTTTAAAATAAAAATAAAAAACAGTACGCAACATTGATCTTTTCAAGTCTAAAGTCTTAGAGAGATTATTTGGATATAAACAGAAAAATGAACTCTCACCTGGGAGCTTGAAAGAATTTTTTTTTTCCAATTTTCAACAGTGCTACTGACTTTTTAAAAAGCGATGCAGCTTTACTTTACCAAGTTTTGCTATTCTACAAAAACCTCGCTGTTTATCAACAATGCGAAACCAGGGAAGACAAGGAACGGAGATCATCTTGGTCTGAATTCTGTTTCTCCCTGAACATCTGACCTTTGTAGGGCACCAAGATGCTTTCTCTTCTATAGCTTCCCTGGTAGACACAGATCAGGGTCTGTTACCCACATCCCTATGGAGATCTCCTTAGGTGGTCACCAATTGTCACAATTTTATTTTTAATACTGTATTTTTCTTACCAAAAAATAATAATAGGATGCTAGCCCTGCTACAACAAGCAGGGACTTATGGAAGCACCACTGACATATATTCAACACTCTACAGTAAAGGAGTCCAGAATTCAACAAACTCAAAAGCCACGTAGTTTGCATCAAAGGTAGCCCTTTCCATCCTCACCATTATGCCCAAGCTGTGAAAACCATTGTCTCTTCCCACTCATTGGTTTTTCTCAGACAACCAGGATTGATGGGCCAACTGTAGTCCTAAATCTGACTACAGGAATATCTCGTTTAAGAAGAAATCCTGGTTTCACAGAAAATTTTCATGATATTATTAGCTCGAGAGTTTCTGGCATTCGAACAATGTTTGACAGAGATTATCAGTTGCGTCGAAATGAAGAGTTTACAGTCCAGGTTTGAACAGCACAAACTAACAAAGGAGCAGGAAAGAGCCCTGGTTCACAAAGGCAGAAAGCCAAGCCGGTTTTAAAGTGGGTGCCCCATTTTCACTCTCCGAAACCAGGAAGCTTGTAAAGAGTTGGAACGCACGAGGAAGCAATCTGGTGCTCTCCAGAGAGCCTGGACTACAACTCCCATATGCCTCACCCCTTGGCCCTTCTGACTGAAGGTCAGGCAAATGATAATCCAAGGATCTGAGTTAAGAGTTTGCCTCAATGTTTGCCTCTTTTCTTGTCTCCCTACCCTCACCGAACTGGAAACTTCGAAGCCGGAATATGAGTTTAAAAGAATTCCAGAAATTTGTGCTCTGTTGGCAACTTATTCTTTCTATTCAAAGGGCAGAATGAGACTCTGAGCACATCTGATGGGCAAGCTGCACTGGTTGGAACATCTTAAAGTGGCTGTGCTTTTTCTGAGTTCTTCCCTCTTCTCTCAAGGATGAAGGTGGAAGGTTTTGAACCTGATTTATTGTTACCTGTAAACTTCATTCTTAGCCCTGTGCATAGATTTGGATTTGAATGCCAAACACGATTAGGTGCCTTAGTGTCTTTTACAGGTGTTTATATGGTTTTATTATGTTGCTGTAAAAGACACCTAGGTGGGATGGATAGTGTAGAATTTAATAAATAAAATAAATATCCCCCACAGGGTCTCTATACTCACTCAGGAGGCACCTAATCATGTTTGGCATTCAAATCCAAAATCTATGCACAGCCCTATTGCTTAGTGAATAGGAAACTGAACTGAAACCTAAAGAAATTACAGGAACGAGAAACAGAAGCTACTACTGGCAGTGGGAGATGGTATCACTCTGCAGAGAAGAGGAAAAAGCCAAGATGGAAATAGCAACAAGTAGGGGAAAGTCCTGGCTTTTGGCCACCTGGAATGGTGGACAAGGACTCCAAGTTAATCCATTGCACGGGAATGCCTTTAACAGCTTAGAATAACCCTTCCTGCAAGATAATATTTAAAATAAGAAGTACTTCCTTGCTTCAGAGGGATGAATAACTCCAGTTTGTCTTCTAAAAGGCAGAACACAAGGTTTCACATTTTAGCTTCAGTGAAAATGGCATTCAGCTTTTTCACTACGGAATTGCCGACATCAGTGCTGGCTGATCGGACAACGGTGGTTTTATATTTTTATTTCTATTGATGAAGAATGGGTTCCCTCCCTTCCCTCATTTGTCTTCCCTTTTGCTGATGTCAGCAAAATAAAAAGCTGGTGGATCCGCTAAGGTAGCAGAATCCACTGGTGTACATCTTAGTGGCTGAAGCTTCTGCATCAACTCCCAGGTGAGTCTGAAGTCTACTCCCAAGAGGACCAAGATATCATAAAGGATAAACTCATACCATATTATTATTATTAGGTAACCCGACCCATGAATAATGGGCTGCTAAGGAATTTGATGGTATTTGTAACTGCAATTCCTCTCTCGTTTCAGCCAATCTATTTGAAAAACACTGCCAGAAGCTGTGCCTGTTCCCCAGTATTTAGGTGCTAAGTATATTGTAAACCCTAGCCATTGTCTATCCCAGGGGTCTTCAAACTTGGCAACTTTAAGACTTGTGGACTTCAACTCCCAGAATTCCTTAGCCAGCCAGGGCTGGCTGAGGATTTCTGGGAGTTGGTCCACAAGTCTTTTTTATTATTATTATTAAAAGTTTTAAAAATTTCACACAATATATATCCCTAATCCCTCCCCCCTCCCCTACTTCCCAGAGCTGATTACAGGGTTACAAATAAACAAACATAATCTGAATAACATTACAAGTCTTAAAGTTGCCAAGTTTGAAGACCCCTGGTCTATCCACTGCAGGTTGAAGGCTTCTTGGGCATATTTCCAACCTATATGGTCCTGAACCTATTGCACTTGCTTTCCACAATTCCTCTGAGGACTCAAGGCAATCTGCCTGGTGACTGAGTTCTCCTCTAATTTTACTTCCCAAACTAGGTTAGGTAACCTGGAGTGAAACAGAGTGACTGGCTAAAAGTTACTAAGAGCGCTTCACAATGTAGAGGGATGGTGTGTGTGTGGGGCTTGAAAATAGGTTTCCAAAGTCCAACGCTTTAAACCTTATACTTATCACTTTCCTAACAGATCACCATTCAGAGAAGCAGGTTATTATATTAATTCATGGGATCTGCAGAACCTGGCATAGAACCTCCAGGGTTCTCAGCTGACTTCCTTCACACAGTCACTGTGCTCTCAACCTTTTCTTCCTCATGACTAGTAGACATCACTTTCTTCCATCTACAAAGCTACCAGAGAAAATTTAGGCTAAAAGAAGAAAGAAATGAAATAATTCCACAATGCGTGGAATTCTGGGGACCTTTCATTTGAAAGGTCTATTACTAATGGATGCATGTTTATTTTTCCTCATTAAACGGCAACCAACTGGATTAAAACAAACATTCTTCATTTGTTATGCAGGATCTGGGGACATCACAGAAAAAGAATCCATGATGTAGGAGGTGGTCTTTGCTGGTTTCTCAATATAAAGCAGGAAGGGCAAAGCAAAGAAAGGGAGATAGGAATCAGCCTTTTATTCCAGATAAATTATTATCTAAGTTAGCAGGGCAGGTAAATAATTTTAAAACCCAGGTTTAACAGGCTGATGAATGACATGCTTTAAATTGCCATACATCTTCCTGGGAACAAACACTATTTTTTTTTATTTTAGGGAAGGGAAAACAAATCTCTAAAGAACACAATAATAATTTTAGCACCTGTAACTATGAGTATATTTAGCCAACTGCTTACTGAAATTGATAAGTTGGATGAGGCCTCTTTAGATCATGGCAACGCTCAATCCTGTCAGTTTGGCTACTCACAGAGGCCCCACCGTTCTTTTAGGCAATAATGTGAGTGCCTTCCCCCTCACACACACACACACACCCCGTGGCCTGAGGTCCAACTCTAGGAGTGCCAGAGAAGCTGGCATCTTCCTTAAGGATCTTCCGCCAGACATGTTACGACTGTCAACTCCTCCTCCTTCGTTGAGACTATTCCTAGCCGATGTGCTTATGAGAACTCCGCGGGTGCTGATGGAAAAGCAAAATAATAAAAAGGACTAGGAAGGCAAAAGGGAGAACTTACGCAGGACTGCAGGGGGTCTAACTGGGTTCTGCAGAAACCAAAGCAGGTTGCCCAATTAGCCTAACTGAAGGAATGGTCGACAAAGTTAGCTTTCTCCTGCAAACCATGTTGCCCATATCTTAGCGAGGGGGGGGGACGCTGGGGGAGGAAGGGAGCTCAGGCTCTGTAATTATAGTGACACAGACATACACACCGCAGGCAGGCTAAGGCTGCGCCCCTAAGTTGGGAACTTAAAAGGACGTCCCAGCGCAAACCCAGCTGCGCCTTCTCACGCGTTGCTAATCCGGAGTCTTTTGCTTGGGCTGACAGTCGCTAGCCAGGATTCAGGAGGGGTCTTTTCCTCAATCAACCAAGTGGAGAACACCCCACCCAGCTCCCCAATTTTTCCAGCAGCCCCCTCCCTCCTCAATTGCCCATCACCCCTCCCTTGCTCAGTGGCAGCGGCTAAACCCGCGCATTTCCCCTCCTCCTCTCCCCCACCGGGGTCTTTGCAGACTGAACCTAGGTTACTCCGAGGTTACTCTCACCACGACTTGCCTCCCAAGGGGACGCCGACCTGCGAAGTTTGCAACCTCGAGAAACTCCCGCGGGAGAAAACTCCGAGCATCGCAAGAAACCCACCCTCCTCCGCTTTCCTCCTTCCTCGACTGAATACTCAGGATGGCGACGGGTAAAGGATCGGCGCTTTACTCCCCCAGCCCAAGCCCCCGCCCGCCCGCCCGCCTCCTCCCCCTCTTGGCAGCCCCTCACTCACCCAGCAGAGCCGCTATCCCGAGCGCCAGCGCCAACGGCTCCATTGCGCCGGCTCCCCCCCCACCCCGGAGGAAGACCCGGGGCGCAGCGCTCGTCCCGCTCGCCCGGAGGAGAAAGCCGGAGTAGCAGGTGCAGCTGCCGGAGCCCGCGAGCGCGAAGGAAGGCGGGGGAGGAGTTCTCCAGGTGGGGCGTGTCCAGCAGGTGGCGTAGGGGGAGGAGCCCCGGAGCGAGGGGGAGGGGCGGGCCTATCAGGTGGAAAAGGGGAGGGGCGTTGCCCACAGGTGACACTAGAGGGGCTGGGGAGGATGGGGCGGGGGGGGAGGAACAGTGAGGCAGGGCTGGAGAGGGGCAGTTGGGAATTCCGTTGTGCAGGGTTGCTTTTGATTGGACGTGGTTATTTATACCCCACATCTAACTCAGGGGTCCTCAACCTTGGCCACTTTCAGACTTGTGGACTTCAACTCCCAGAATTCCTCAGCCAGCAGGGACTTGCAGTCCACAAGTCTGAAAGTTGTGGACTCCTGATCTAACTCAAGGGGGTCCAATCTCGGCTACATTAAGACTTGTAGACTTCAACTCCCAGAATTCCCCAGCCAGCCATGCTGGCTGGGGAATTCTGGGAGTTGAAGTCCACAGGTCTTAAAGTGGTCAAGATTGGACATCCCTGATCTAACTCAATGCAAAGACTGATGCTGCTGCAGGAGAAGCTGGCTTGGGCGCTGAGACAATGAAGCCCAGACAGGGGAAACGACACCGAATCAGACACGCAGACCTGTTAGCGAGCTTTGCAGTTCATCAGAGCTCTTCAGCCAGGGAAAACGAACAAAAATGGGTAATAGGCAAACAATACATCAAAGAAGAAAAAGGATAGATTGGCGATTTCACAGCTAAGCCACACAATTGGTGGGATTCATTTGGTAAGCAAGAAAGTGTGGCTTAGGAACCATACAGGTCGGCTCATACAATCCACTAAGCTACAAATAAGCAAACTGTGTTGTAGCTTTGTGTTTTTTTCAACCTTGGCAACTTTAAGACGATTCCTGGCTGGAAAATACTAGGAGTTGAAATCCACACACCTTTAATGTTGCCAAGATTGAGAAAGATTAATCTATGGGGGGGGGGAATTATCTGTCTTTCAAGTTATTTTGAAATTCAGTTGTAGTTAGCTACAAGAAAAAGCTCCTGCATCCACAAGCTTCCAACACCAATGCATCAAAATCTCAGCAAGATTTGAAAACAAATTCCCATGCCCTCTAGAACACCATCCCCTTCCCAAAAGTTCATTTAAATAGGCATTCCCCCCCCCCCAAGCCTCTATTTAAATGAATTCTTAAAACTTAGCTCTGTCCAGGCCTGGATCAGAGTGGATGATAGATTCCTCTGTAAAGTTTTGGTTCTTTTTCAATGACGGGTTTTTCTAAATGTTTTTTGATGATCTAATTCAGATACGGTATTTTCACTGTATCTTCTATTTGTCATGGTTCCGATAGATGGAACTCATTAAAGAACTTCAAGGCAAGAATTCTTCCTTAAAGAACATTTTATTCAGGAAACAAAGTATCGGCACTACATAGTTGAACCCAAAACTAGATTCCCTTCTCCCAGATACAAAGTAACAAATTGCAAGTCCCACCCCCACAAAGCAGTCATAAATCACATTCTCCAATTAGCTGGGAGCACGGGTCTCTCCCCAGCTCCTCAGCCGGTTTGTATCCTTGAGTTCCCATGGAGCTGCATTGTTATTATGGCTAGCTGAGTTCAGGCATTCACCCCATCCTCCCTTCAACACCTAATTTCTAAGCAGAAGAAAAAGCATGTTAAAAGCAAAGTAAAAATGGTCGCAGTTTCCATCAGTTGTCAGAGCAGGAACATCCAATGTCACAGCATTGACACTATTGTCGTATTACTACATATAAGCTGCTTGGAACTATAACGAGTTGGGACAGCCTGTAAATCTCATAAATAAATACACCTTGCAGAAAGAGTAGCGGGAAGCTACTTCAGAATGGTTCCAAAATACATCCATGGATCTGTTGTACGGTCACCTACGGTTGAGCTCCACAATAAGGACTTTGCATCATCTGTGTCAGTGGTTTTCAACCTGTGGGTCAGGACCCCATTTGGGGTCGAACGACCATTTCACGGGGGTCGCCAAACAATGCAGTCCGCCATTTTTTTCCCCCTTTTCCTTAGCTGTGCTACTCCCTTTTATTCTATTGGCTTTTGAAAGCCAATAGAATAGACTCTCTTGAATAGAGTCTAATTCTATTGGCTTTCAAAAGCCAATAGGAATTGTCCAGGCTGTCTCTGCCCTGCTGAGCCCGCCAAAAGTCCCATTCTGCAAACAGTGCTGCACCAGTTGAGTAGTCCTCGACTTACAACCAGTTGAGTAGTCCTCGACTTACGACCGGTTGAGGGTCGCGGCATTAAAAAGGTTGAGAACCACTGATCTATGTGAATCCAGCTATTATGAAGCAATGTAAAGAATACAACCTGGGCTGGTAACTTTCCTACCCCTTTTCTAGTTGAAGACAGTCTTTTGGGTTGTATATAAAAAAAAATAACTGCGGTCGGTTGTATTTTAAAGGCTATATTTTTGAAGCTATTCTGACTAGGTTCATTCAGCTCCCCCTCCAAATTTTTCAAACTGCAGCTCCCATTAGCACTGGCCAGGTCTTACAGCTTCTTTCCTTATGGACAGTCCAATACACATTACCCCTAACCTCCAACTGCTCATGGTTCTTAGGTTATGGGTTTTGTAGTTCAAAACACCTGGAAGAAGCATTAGAAAAGCTAGTCTCTTCATTAGCTAACTTTGGAATAATGACAAACCCACCAAGAAATGAATCACAAGAAGAAAGAAAACAAAAAAAATGGAGGTCCTTTTGATGCACATCTCTCTGGAAATCCTCACGTGACTTAATTTAAGTCCCCCCCCATACTTAGAAAAGTAACAGATTTAGTCCCCCCCTTTCAGTGTTCTGCTGAGATAAGTAATAGATGGAGAAGTTACCCTCAGAATGAAAACAGCCAATGTCTGCTTCCAGCTTCCAGACTAATCAGATTTGGACAGCAGAGTAACAAATTTAACATGCTCTTAAATCAGGATTTAACCAAATCTCCAAATATGGGCAGATTAGAACTGCAGGGACCCAGCGCTCAGTAATCTACAGCGTGTCATTTCAATCCTCCCTGTTTCGCGTTCTTGAAGATCTTGATTCAGAAGGAAAACTGTGGTGCTGATGCATTCCCAGTTCTATCGTATTTTGGTTAGCATGCTGTGCTCCACACATGCAGAAAAACTGCCTTCAAACAAGTCAAGTCACTGGCAGATTTCCCCTTGGGAGTGGGTGGTTTTGGGGGTTTTTTTGTAGCTGGAATGATACTTTTTCTATATGGAGAGAGGTTACCCAGCCAGTGAAGCAATGATGCTAGAATGCCCTTGAAATGGATGGGATTTATATAGGGCTTCAAAACCGATCCCTTTTAAAAGCATTATAGAACCACTGCCCCACTGGCTGAGATAGATAGATAGATAGATAGATAGATAGATAGATAGATAGATAGATAGATAGATAGATAGATAGATAGATAGATAGATAGATAGATAGACAGATGAATTATAGATAGATAGATAGATAGATAGATAGATAGATAGATAGATAGTTGAGAAAAGTAGTCGAACACCGGGATAAATAAAAACAACTGTTTAATAAACTAACAACTGTTTCATAATTTATTAAACAGTTGTTTTTATTTATCCCGGTGTTCGACTACTTTTCTCAACATGAATATACCCGGGATTCACATTTTTAGTATAATTAGAGACAATAGATAGATAGATAGATAGATAGATAGATAGATAGATAGATAGATAGATAGATAGGCAGTGATATACACATATACCTACACCTATACCTACATATACATGTTTGTTTGTGTATGTGTGTAAAATAGATTAGCATTTCTAATGTTTCTTCCAGCTCCAAATTTTTATATATATACAAATACATACATACACACGCACACACACATACACAAAACACATATATAAGTATATAAAAATTTGGAAACTGCTCATCTCACCTACAAAGCAACTTGTTTAATTATGGTCCAGGGCCAGTCATTAAAACAACAGTAAAACAGGTGCAATAAATAAAAGAATAAAACTGCATAAAACATTCTGAAATGTTCACTTTTCGCCTGTTATTTGTGAGAAGGGGTACAAAGCAATTTCCGAATGCTACAGCTATTGATAACAGAGCTAGTTTGGTGTATTGGAGAAGGTTGTGAGTTTTGGCCTTGAGCCAGTCCCTCTTTCTCAGCCCTAGAAAGGAGGCAATGGCAAACCACTTCTGAAAAACCTTACCAAAAAAGCTGCTGTTCAGGCAGTCACCTGGAGACAGCAGCCTTGAAAGCAACAACAACAACAAAAAAGGATAGGACTTTTTGCAACATTTGTAAAGGTTTCTGACATTAGTCACATCCAAGGAGAGGACATGTTGTCACAAGCTTTGGATGGCCACTATCCTATAGCTCCCGATTTCCAACGCTCGACCTTCAGCGTGCTAAGGACTGCGCAGAATATAAATCCTTCTATTTTCCACCATTCAGTCAAAACTGGAGAAGCTTCTTGAATGAAAAGCGAAACATTTTCAAAGAACGTTCAAAAAGCAACTGGACTTTCTTGGGGTTGTTACCCCCCCCCTTGTAACATTTTCAAAGAAAACGTTTCAAAGAAAACACAAAAACAAAAAAGTCCAGTTTTGGGACAAACATGACCTGGATGGTTGAGAATCTCCATAGACATCCTGATTTCCTACTAGACCTGGTGGTGATCTTGGCCACAAACTTTGGAGCAGAAGCTTCCTGCCTCCCAAAATCTCAGGAAACACAACTCCAATGGAGGCAGCATCTTTTTTTTTCCCAAAATAGGGGGGGGGACATTACACCAGCTTAATGTACGCAGGGTTGCCTGTTACATTGCTTCTGAACCTTGACACACATGCTACAAAGACATCACTTCCAAATCTGCCAAGAATGTTGCAATGGAGCCTCAGAAAGGTGTTCGGAGTTTAACCAACCATGCCCTTTTCTAGAAAACTCCATTCCATTCACTCCAACTAATTCTAGTCAGCATGGTTGGTCTTTGT